TCCCGGCTGGGCGCTTCCCCCCCCGGGCTCCCGCTGTGCTGGGGGAGCGCCAGCCGGGGGCGCAGGGTCTGGAGGCTGCCCGGCAAACCATGAAGCCGGTAGCGCTTGGGCAGCCCTTTTCGCATGGCTGGGAGGGAGGAGGGGGAGTTAGGGCGGGGACTTTGGGGAATGGGCGGGGAATGGGCGGAGAAGGGGCAGAGTTGGGGCGGGGCCGAGGGTGGGAAAGGGGCGGGGCCAGGGCCCAGTGGAGTGTCCTCTTTTTTTATTTTTTAAATATGGTAACCCTACTGTATTGTAACATTGATGTGAAAAGATGACATCCTATGTTTCACCATTTGAGGATTATTCAGTCTTTAAATTCACTTTAATCCTGACTCAGAGCAGTAACTGAGATCCTTACCCCCATGATGTGTGGTGGTTGCGTCCTGGCTTAACCTTATTACAGACAGAGATGAGACCATTACATTTCCCTCACTTAGGTTCAAAACACTGTCCCAAAGACTAAAAGGCCAGACAGACAGCCCTCTGTTAACCCACCAATAATTCTAAAGCTCCAGAGAGCTTGCAGATTCGAGGCAAAAAAGAATTTGAACAAAACAAGCATTCAGGTGCCTTTTGGTGACCATTCAGATGTTACAGCCATCACAAGAAATCATTGACTGCATTTCTATTTCACAGAAACACCATCATATCTGATAGTTTGATGGCCTCACAGCTGGCAACACACCAGGATCCCCACTGGTTCCACAAAGAAGTAATATTGTGGCCAAAGGAACAGCAATCCTCATATATTATGTAGTTAAAAATCCATTTAGTCATCAACTTAAATACAGTATGAGAATTCACAGCCCTTCCACCTGGTCCCAGTACCTTGAAAGTTTAAGGTAGCAGTAGGAAGAGGACCTGGAGAAGTCAGCGTTGCACCTACCTCCATATTACAATCTACTGGTAAAGAACCAGCAGAGCATGCAAGGCAGGAGAACCAGTGCTTGGCACTCAACAAGGAAGCTACAGCAGGAATGCTGAGCAAGAGGTGACAGAGCTATTCCACCCAGTACAAATCTCCTTTGAGACTGTGACTATCACTGCGTCGCCTACACAAAAGATGGGCTCTTCCCTTTAAGAAAAGTAATCAGAAGTACAAAATAAAAGGGTTTATGTTCCCATTGACATCTGACAGGCTAGAGACCCTCAATTTTAATAGTAAATTGTTAATAAGAGCTCAGCGCTTTCTGGGTTAAGCCTTCCAGAGAGATTATGAATAATTGTATTTTTAAAAAGTCACTGAATTGAAGACAAGTAAAAGCTAGAGATGAATCATATGTGCTGCAGTGTTCGCAGCTTCTATTCAAAGGAAAGCAGCACCTATTTTGCTCAGCACAGCATTGGAAACATTCAGACAGTGAGAAGAGATTTGTTCCCTGTATAATCCAGGCCACATAATTGGAAATGAGGTTTTTAATTAAAATTGGCATTTCTGATCCTCCTGCTGACTGACAGCCTCTTCCTCAGACTGCTAAACCAGTTTCCAAGAAATGGCAAAAAGAAAAAAAAATCTGGCAAACCTATAAAACCTGGATTTGATTATTCTGCACTGGGGATGGTTCATATAACAGGATACTGCAGAAAGAGGCAAGGAGAGACAGCAGATAACCTACTAAGGAAGTTTTCCCCATGATTACAGTAAATCACAAATAAGACAAGATAGGAACTAGTTTTCCTCGGTCCACAAGCAGGACAATTTTAAATCAGAAGCCTTATTTTCAGAGGGTATGTCTAAACTGGAGTTGAAAGTTGTAACTGTCACATTGAGCAGATAAGCCCATGCTAGCTCTGATTGAGCCAGTGCACTAAAGATAGAAGTGTAACCACAATAGAGCAAGCGGCAGGAGGGCCTACCCACTCTGAGTACGTATCTACAATCCTGTCTGAAAATGTACTCATAGTCGCAGAGGTGTGAGTGACAGGAGGGCTAGCTGCCCAAGTATAATCCCATCTGAAACCATAGGTACATGCTCAGGGCTGCTAGCCCCTCCCACTGCTTGCGCTGTTATGGCTACATTTCTATTTTTAGCACACTAGCTCAGAGTAGTGTGTGTATGTCTACTTGAGCTGGAAATTGCACCTTCCAGCTCCACTGCAGACATCCTCATGTAGAAACTGGACTTTTTGGGTAACAGTACACAAGGCCGGCTCCAGGGTTTTGGCTGCCCCAAGCAGCCAAACAAACAAACAAAAAAACCCCAAACAAACAAAAAAGCCGCAATCGCGATCTGCGGCGGCAATTCGGCGGGAGGTCCTTCGCTCCGAGCAGGAGTGAGGGACCGTCCACCGAATTGCCGCCGAACAGCTGGACGTGCCGCCCCTCTCCAAAGTGGCCGCCCCAAGCACCTGCTTGGTAAACTGGTGCCTGGAGCCGGCCCTGACAGTATACGTGCTTCAACATGTGCAGCTTTCTTTGAATAGAAGCTCCTGCCGAGAGGCCAAACTCAGCTGTCAGCATTAGCAAAGGTTCTTACCCGCCCTTCAAGACAGAAAGGCCCTGTGTCAGGAAAACTGTATTGGCCAATGAGGAACAGTCTCCCAATCGGTTACAAGGAGCTCATCCTAGTGGTGGTACTGTACCTTCAGGAGGCTCCTCCCGCAGATGAGGGGGCAGTTCTTCACTGGTTGTCTCAGCTTCATCTTCCACCATCTGCGTTTCCAAGCTGGGACCCTATAGGAAAGAACAGCAAGGAGGAGTTAATTTTAGAAGATCCACCACAAGAAGGATTGAGGATTGGAAAATATGCTTTATAGTGAAAGGCTCAAGGGGCTCAATCTATTTAGCTTAACAAAGAGGAGGGAGAGAGGTAACGTTTTATTTACCCCAGTTTACATTACGGTGAAACTCAGCCGGAGAAGTTAAGTGAAGTGAGTTGATCACAGTATAGAAGTACTATATGAAGAGAAGAAATTTGATTAGGAGCTCTTCAGTCTAGTAGACAAACCTATACCAAAATCCAACCACTGGAAGTTGAAGCTAGACAACTTAGACTAGAAATAAGGTGCAGACTTTTAATCGGGACGGTAATTAGCCATTGGAACATTTTACCAAGCGCTGTAGTCGATTCACCATCACTGGAAATTTTTAAAATCAAGATTGGATTTCTTTCTAAATGATATGTCCTAGTTCAAATGGAAATTATTTAAGTCCTATGGCCTTTTATATAGGAGGTCTCAGGCTCATAGACTTTAAGGTCAGAAGGGACCATTGTAATAGTCTAGTCTAAACTCCTGCTCAATTGCAGGCCACAGAACCTCACCCACTCCTGAAACAGACCCCTTAACCTCTGGCTGAGTTACTGAAGTCCTTAAACCATGGTTTAAAGACTTCACATTACACCATTTAAACCATTTACACTAGTTTAAACTTGCAAGTGACCTGTGCCCCATGCTGCAGAGGAAGGCAAAAAAAACCCAGGGTCTCTATCAATTTGATCTGGGGGGAAATTCCTTCCTGACCCCAAATATGGCGATCAGTTGGACCCTGAGCATGCAGGCAAGACCCACCAGGCAGATACCCGGGAAAGAATTCTCTGTAGTAACTCAGAGCTCTCCCCATTTAATGTCAGACTAGATTATCACAATGGTCCCTCCTGGCTTTATAATCTAAGAATGAAAAAGACATAAAGGAGGCCAAGGGGCATGAAGTATTTTCAAGGCAAGGCTGAGTGAGCTAGTTTAAAGTCTAGTAGCCCAGTGGACTATCAAAAGCTAATTTTGATTACCCACCCCAAGCTATACATGTACATAGTATACAAAACTGATTCTCAAGCACAATAGCATTTTACCAGATTCTTTTCCATAGCACTCAATTCAATACCAGTAGTCCAGGGGCCTTTCTAATCCCTATGATTGATATATTCATAACCTCACATCAGTATGCCCCAGGCTACCAGATTTATCATGGACCCTGGTGACAGTCACTTATAGTTAAGGTTGAAGAACAGTTTCCATAACTGCTCTCACTTTTCACACATGCAACTTAAAAAGAAAAAAAAAAATCACTTTTGGATAAGAGATTTCCAATGATTTACGTGTGCCTAAAAGCTTTTTTGGTTGAAGGTCAAAAAACAAACAAACAAAGCCTCTTCATCCCTTTTTATATTATGAGAAAGTGAACAAAATACAGAATACAGACTTCCCTTTCAAAAAATTCTAACTACATGATTTTCTTTTATTTTTGGCACAAGCCTACACTAAAAACAAGTGAAATCTGAAGTTTAGTGTGGACAAGAGTCTCATTAGGGAACTGGGCTTTTGCTTGCTTTGAAAATAACTGGGTTTGATTTAACAAGAGATTTGATTTTTTTTTAAATCAAACATATGAACATATGCGGCTGGAAATTTACAGTGGCTCACTTAAACATAGGTGTGCTGCTAACATGCTTACATTTATGTCCAATGAGCAGTGGATTTTTTTTTCAATTCGAAAATTCAATCCTAGAAAGTGTTACTGTGTTGCATGATCTTTTCCATCTTCCAGCTTATTGAGTTTAAGACTAACCCTGCAGTGTTGCACATTCTGTACGCTCCCACACACAATTTACAACAGATGTGCACTATTTTCTACTCCCATTCTTCTTGTTGAACAGGTAGCTTAAATACTCAGCTACTTAGCCACTGATTTAACATGACAGACAGGAAAAGAAAATTGCATATTACTACATCACAAAGGGTCTGTTATTAAAACAGGCAAGGTATGCTACTCTGTCATATTAACACTGTGTTTGCAACCTTGACTTCTGCCTATTGTGACTTGTACAATTTTTACTTGCAGCATTAATGTTGAGTTAATACATTCCCTCACGCAATTTGCTGTAATTAGTAACAGCACTTACATAGCACCTTACATCTTCAAGTGAAGGCACTGTATAAACATTAAAGAATCACACCTCACAAGAACCGTGCCAGGGACAGAGGTAAAGCTTTATTTACCCCAGCTTACATTAGGGTGAAACTGAGCCAGAGAAGTTGCACTAGGCTGTCACAGCCATGATTAATGCCGAGGAGTTCTTGGCTGCTAGGCCCGTTCCCTGATAGTCCCTTTTGTTCACCTCAGGGATCTGGGATAGATTTTGAGAAAGGTAGAAATTCTGGACTCTGGCAGTAGCTGAGTATACAATATTTAATATGAGGTTTTAGAAGACTCCCATACTATATTACCCCCCTGCAATCTTTAAATATCTTGCTCCAAATCCATCTTCCCCCTCCCCCCCATTTATGCCTTAAGACAGTGGTCTCCAAAGTGGGGTGCGCAACAGGATCCTTCAGGGTGTGCGGCAGGAGGAGCAGCGCCGCTTTTTTTCCCCTCCCTCGGCAGTTTGGCCTGGAGTCCGAGCGGCTTTTTTTTTTTTTGCTTCAACAGTTCAGCCGTGAGCAGGGGGTGCATGCTCAAGAATTTTTTTACTGATTGGGAGAGTGATCAACAAAGTTTGGAGACCACTGCCTTAAGGAGAAGAAAGAGCATTGGACCACACACCGCCACTGGCAAAACTGAAACATTATTTGTTTATATAAGATTGCGTCTATCTGGAGCTCTAGATGCAAGTGCAGACAATTGACAAAGACACGCACAGAAATCTAGTAGGACCAACATTTATATTACGAACGTCTCAAAATAGCAAAACTAAAATGTTCTCCATGCATCACCTCTGCATCCCTTCCCCATGAGAATGCCTGGAATAAACAGATGAGCTTTTAAAATATGCTCTGAAGGTTAACAGTTTCCACCAGCCCCTGATTACCGAAGTCCTCTATCCTCCACCGAGTCATGCTTAATACTCCTTTCCTCTCTCTCCTTCATTCATAGGAATTTTTGCGCTGTATATTTCATGCTATCCCTTAGGCGGTAGCAACCTACACAAGCCTGTTCACCAAGCTACCTCTCTTGCCTCATTCAAATCCCTCCCCAAAATGCAAGAGCATCTACAAAAGAGTAGAAAGGTTAAAAAAAAAGTTAACAATGATGGAAGGGGAGGGAAGAGAGGGTCTCTAAAACAGGCAAATCTCAATCATGTAGAATTTTGCAGATTAAGGCAAACAACTGGAATGGCATCCATAAGTGAAATGCAAGCCAGTGTACTCTAAATACAATTGTAATATGCCTAACTAGATAGCTACAAAGGGCAATAAGATATAAATGTAAGAAATACTTTATTTTTTTTCACCTGTAGGTGTATTTTCTTAATGGGTTTAATTCCCTGTGAATCAAAAGTATTTTCATGAAAATATCTTCATAGATTAGCGGGTACTGTTGGGGGTGAAATTAGAGCAGCTGTATATTTCAGTGGGCCCAAGAAAGAGAATAATTGGCATCAGCTAATTTGCTGATGACTTAGTTTGGAAGATAAAGGGATTTTCTTAAGCATTTGGTCCTTAGTGGACCTTTCCATGAGCAACCCTGTATTAATTATTATTATTAGGAAATAACAGTTCAACAGATGAGAAATATGCTTAATATAAAAATATTAAACCTACTTGCCAAAAACACAGACTTTATAGAGGAGCTTCAACACCATCTGCCCCTCTGTCAGACAACATGAGTGAAAAATCACTACACTCAAATTTGGTTGTAAGAGACACCACCACCAGTGTCCAAGCCAGAGATTCTTCACTGCTTGCAGCTGCTTTGCACCTTTTGTCTTTTACATATGTACACAGAAAGTGCAAAATGCTACCAGATGACAGCATTTTACATTCACTTCGCACAAGTATATGTGATGATGCAAAGTATGGCATGGAGAATCAGGTTCTCTCCATTAAGAAGCTAGTTAGATTACAGCAGGCTGCAAATATATGCTATTTATCCCAATGGCAATTCTGGTCTGTATTAGATGCAAGCCTACTCTAGTCCTGAACCATGTGTTCTAGAAAAAGACAGAACCAGCTATGATCATGGCAGAGGCCAGTAGAGATGTTCTTGTATCATGCTGGCCTGCCAGCACAAACCATGGACAAGACTGAAATAGTTCCTTGCAGTCATCCTTTCCCCCATTCAACCCAGACTAGAAGAGTTGTTGCCAGAGACACAGGCTCCTGAGAAAAAAGAAAAAAGTGATTGAAGAGAATTATTCCTGTTCAACTATCTTAGTATCTAGTAGAGCTAGTCAGAAATTTTTGGAGTATTTTTCATTTGGAAAATGCTGATTTGTTGAATTGAAACATTTCATAGAAACATGTCGTCCTCCGCAAAAAAAAAAAATTAGTTTCAAAAAGAAAAAATTGAAAAACAGTATTTTGAAAGGTTTTGCTTAACCTTCTTGGAATAGAATGTTTTGTATTTTCCATTTTGAAATGACTATTTGTTTTAATGTTATATTATATAATATCAAATAAAAAGTCTAAATTGGAACAAAATGTTTTGATTTTGTCAAAAAAGAAACGTTGCAACCAACCCAAAATATTTTTGTTGGAACTTCATTTGACAGAAGTTCTGAAATATTAGTTGTTGTTTTTTTTAAATTCTTCCATTCCAGACATAACAAAATCAAGAAATCTGGTTCCCATCCAGCTCTAATATCTACTCCCACCTACTTACTAGCTGATCTGCCCAAGACAGACTGAATAAGAAATAACCAGGACAATTATAAGTGATTTGTTATGCATCTATATTTGTCAAGTCTCCACTCAGGATTTAATGACTAATCTCACATACTAAACAAGAATGTGTAC